GGGATTCAGGCGTTGATATTAATATTCATCACATAAGCGATATTTCATAATCAATCGTCATAGATTAAAACAACAGCTCTGATTTTGATAGTATCAACGCCTGGGGAAACCTGAGGGGTTTCCCATGTAATTTATTGACTAATGATAATCCTATTAATAGACCGATTAGCACGTGACCAACAGATTATGACTTAATCAAAATTTAGGCGAAGATAATGAATGTTGAAAATTTGACGCTATTTACTATTATAAATTGCAATGACTTTTCGGTTACGGAGCACTGTACATGAGGGATAATGAATACGTGCAACATCCCTCACGCTTCCTAGCCCAGGTTTGAGCGGTACTCAATTCTCAACACTTGAAAGTGCTGGCATCAATGACCCCGAAGGACCAGAAAAATATAACAACACTGAGGTGAAGTACAAACTTTTTATAGCTGCCACACAGCACTTGACACCTGCTGTTGTGAAGTATAAAAATCTGGAAAAAGTGAAGCATTAATAACAACAAAATTACAAGAGAATTGCAAACTCGGTTTGATTGAGTCTGTGCATGAGGGATAATGAATACGTGCAACATCCCTCACGCCCCTAGCACCGGTTTGAGCGGTACTCAATTCTCAACACTTAACCAAAAGGAAGCAATTTACATATTATCAATGACAATGGTAATGTACGTTAACTACCAAAACAGGTCAAATTATGCAAAAATAGCTCTTAATACGTTAGTAACGCAGTAGAAATATAGTTGTAAATACTAAACATATCAGTCATTAACCGCACATAACATATGAATTATAACTTAAATCTCGGATATTATTACCTTTTCTTAAATCTTAGTACATGTTTCTCAAATTTGATTTTAGAAACATATTTCGGCTCATCTGGAGGCATGTTGCTTTAAATTTGCATAATGTCACTTTAATGTAGATATTATGAAAGCATCATCGAGATTTCACGTGATACGCACTTGATAAGATGTTAAATTATTACTAAAATAAATGTAGAAGAGAAAGGCTGTTTGATTATGATAAATGGCTTTTTACATCAATTTAATTGTATTTTGTATCCTTAAAACTGCATTAACAAAACAACGAACCATTTATGTATGAGTTTTCCATATGTTTAAGATCTTGGTCTATAATATTGACCTATTTTGTAGCCCATACAGTGTTTTACCAAGATAGAGTTTGGCAAGATCGAGTGAATGAATTTGTGAATACCAAATCTGCTAATTTCACATTTAAACTTGGTTTTCATAGGCCTCGAGTAATCTCCCTGTTGTCCTGATTCAGTACAATAGCAGGGGGTAAATTATGTTTGTCAGCTGTCTAAAGTTCTTCCGTACTTCACTTCAGTTTTTTATAGTAATTTTGTCTTTTGGGATAATCACTTGCAATACATTTCAGCCGCGTTAGCCGATGCCAGACGGCATGAGAGATATTAAACTCGACTATTGTTCGATTAAACCGACTTTGCAATTTTTACTGTTACCATATGTTCTCATTGCTTACGAGGACCTCTTTCAAGATTACTATATATGACATGATATTTATGTTTTAGAAAAAAAAACCCAACTTTATTTGTATACTCGCTATTGTTTTGGTGGTTCTCTGTAAATAGCATGATGCACGTTTAAATGCATTTAGCTTTACAGTTTTCAAATGTTATCCATAACGTGAATATCGACCTTAATTTTTATTTAGCGGTACAGGAAGAAATCATATAACGACCGAGGTATAATTGCATAACATCAAAAACATTTTCTGTCAATCGGGACAAAAAGAGATAAGACATAACAGTAAGTTATTGCAAATTTTGTTTTTCTCGGTTCTTTTCAGCAAATTTGGTATATTTTTAGATAAATTCGTATAAAAACTGAATGTATAGACATATTGTAAAAATGTTTCTGTTTTACACACAAATAAATTAATCAAGATAAGTATCCTATAAGGTATAATATGACTGATATATATTGAAATGGTGAACTTTGAGGGAAATCAGTGTTTCGCCGATGTCAAGTTTGAGTGGGTCAGAATGAATTGCGAATGTCAAGCTCAAGTAAATAAATTGCAAATACCAAATCTTTTAACATTTGTTTCCATTGCTCTGATTTCTTTGATTCCAGATACAATACAATAACAAGTTTGTAAGCTGTTCTCCCGTACTTCATTTATGTTATATTATTTTTGTTTTTATGGGATAATCAATTTCAATACAAAATCATGTTGAAGATTTATGCTGCTATTTTGCACCAACGATTATTCCTGGATTAAACCGACTTTGCAATTTTACTGATATTTTATGTGTTATAGAAAGATGTCAGCCAAAAACGAAGTTTACATTATTCCAACGGAATTTAACGCTTTGAAACAAGAAGGAAAACAAAACATTAAGCTTACGTTAAAACATAATGTAACATTTAGGTGTTTCTGCTGTATGGCCCAAGGAAACAAATACAAATTCTATCAAAATCAAATTTAATAAGCAAGACTTTACTATCAATTAAATCGCGGTTAATGCTGTTACACTGTAGTTTTTTTGTGTTGCAATGAGAATTACAAAATATTATATTTTACAGTTTTAAATAATAAGACTATCTTTACTTTATAAATCTTCATTTTTCTCAACAAACAGGAACATTTAGAAAATTATTATTGTTTCAGATCCATGCATACATTTAAAATACTATAATTCTAACTTTCTGCAGAAATGAGTAAAATGTTGCTCTGTTTTACAAAAAAGTATACATATTATAATATTTTGCACAAAAATCTTTGTTATTTAATTGTATGACTAAAAAATTTTCCAATGTTAACACTGGTCACATGCAAATATGATGTAACCGTAAATTAAGTAATAACGTGAAAATAGAGATGTTGACGATAATAATTATATGATTTTCATTTGACGGTGATGTTTTTTTTGTAAAAAATTCATATTCATATAATTTACTGACATTTAGGTAAATAAATTCCAGCTTAGATTGTTTATATACATACACCCTTAAACAGGTTATTTAAACATATATAACAAGTTAAGTTTGATAAGAGATTATACAAATACAATCTTGGTACATTTTAGAATGTTGCGAGATAAATGTATACAGGCACTTACAACCTTATTACCAATAATAGTGTCCGACTTTAAAACTTCTTGAACTCTGCGCTCAAAAATACCTGCAAATTCATATAAACCAGAAGTTTATTATACCCCCACCACAAAATGTGTGTGTGTGTGGGGGGGGGGGGCTATAATGGATTCGCTTTGTTGCGTCGGTCGGTCGGTCGGTTCGTCCGTCCGTCGGTCCGTCCGTCTCCATTTTCGCGTCCGCTCTATAACTCCTATACCAATTGAAGGTTTTCTTCAAACTTGGCTCAAATGTTCACCTCAACAAGAGGATGTGCAGAACCTATGTTGTCCATGTGTCAGCTCAAGGTCAATGTCACAATTGAAGGTCAAATATCAAACAATCAATTATTAGACAGTATTTCGTGTCCGCTCTGTAACTCCTACACTTATTGAAAGATTTACTTCAAACTTGGCTCAAATGTTTACCTCAACAAGGGGAGGTGCAAAACATATGTTGCTTATGTGTCAGCTCAAGGTCAAGGTAACAATTGAAGGTCAAATATCAAACAATCAAATATTACACAATATGTCGTGTCCGCTCTGTAAATCCTACACTAATTGAAGGATTTTCTTCAAACATGGCTCAAATGTTCACCACAACAAGGGAATGTGCAGAACCCATGTTGCCAATGTGTCAGCTCAAGGTCAATGTCACAATTGAAGGTCAAATATCAAACAAACAAATATAAGACAGTATGTCGTGTCCGCTCTCTAAGTCCTACACTTATTGAAAGATTTTCTTCAATCTTGGCTCAAATGTTCACCTCAACAAGGGAATGTGCAGAACCCATGTCACCCTTTGCCGGCTAAAGGTCAAGGTCACGCTTGAGGGTCAAAAATTGATTTAGAAAATGTTCTTAAATTTTAACCTGTACTTGAATATTTCTGAAACTAGCACAGGTATTTGCTTGAAACTTAAAAAAGATATATGAGGTGTCACAATTACGATATGCTGGTTAAATTTCATAACTTTATATTGCATTTTGACAAAGTTATGCCCCTTTTTAATTCTTTAAATTTACATATAATTAATACTAGACAATATGTTGTGTCCGCTCTATAAATTCTTTACTAATGAAAGGATTTTCGTCAAACTTTAATCACATGTTCACCCCAACTGAGCGATGTGCAGAATCCATCTTACCCTTGTACCAGCTGAAAGTCAAGGCCACACTTTAATGTCAAAAATTGACTTATAAAAAGTTTAATAATGGTAAAAATGAAAGGTTATTTGTAACTGTTTCGAACATGATTTGATAATAAATAGTTTTACTTTTACCTGTACGATTAGTCTTTTTTTCACCAGAGATAATTTCTTTCTATGTATTTGCGCCACTTAAGTTATTCCCTTAACCACCTTTCCAAGTCGTTTTCAGTCAAGGATATTGGTGGGGGTATGAATCGCATTCAGCGATAGCTCTAGTTTTGGTTGTATATATTATATCAATTTTAACAAATCATATGATATTTTACCATGTTTTAATATTTATAGTCATTATGACAACGAATCACTCTTTTCTAACAGAAAAAACACAGTAAAGAGTTACAAAAGAAAACGTTACGGCATAAGATAAATCTAAGTATTGTACTAAATTTTTTTTGCGAATAACAAAAATGAAACTTAGAGAATTATCTGAAAAGTACAATTTACTTTTATTTTTCTTTTCTAACCAAATGCTTTTACTTATTTTCGTTTTTAAAAAAGTGACCCTGAACAACATATGATAAATCCAGTTTCTATAGAATATGTTCAATCTGATAAGTTATAATGTAGAATTATTACATACATATCGATTGGTACAGTCAATAAATTATTTTAATATCAAAATTTGTAAAAAAATCAGCACAATACAATGAGTAATTTTGCGAAGACAGCTGTAAACGAATGTATAAACATGTTTTTTGTCCTGTAATCTTTAAAACTAATATCCTTTGTAGAACTATTTTCATACGCTGATATTGTGACTAAATCTGACTCCCAAACTTCTACTCCCTGTAAATGTCATATGGTACGAACTAGGTCCCTGCCATTGTCTACGACGTTTCCTGCATCGAAAACATGATCTTAATGCAACATCTCTGAAGGCTTTTCTGAATGCTTCTGAAAATTAAAAAAAAGACTTTTCAAGTTTGTATACAAAGAGTAAATTCAATGAAAAGTTAACATGTTTCATAAACCCATTTTGCTCTCGCTGTCCTTTGAACTATATAAAAAACTGTCATTCGTACAAGTTCATGACCGCTTTATCTATACGGGAAATATTTGGCTCATAGTAAATGGCGTAAAATTTGTACTTATGGGATACGTCTAAAGTGGCCCAACCAAAATTCCACCTTTTTAGTTTAGTTCATCTGTTGTATATACTTATATATGTAATTACGTTGCAAAGTAGAAAAAAAACGTCACAGGAATTGTATGATCATTTTAAAATGTCACATCGTAATATTTGTCATGTTTTGGCAGCTTGTAAAAACAGGCAGCGTTTAATTAAATGTCATGTTATGTTTTTTAGTCTTCAAAGACTAGCATATTATGTCAAATACTTATAGCATACTTATAGATTGTTAGCAATATGCAAACTATCTGTTTTGAAGCACAAAATGTACATCATTATAGATGAATAGTTCAAAACAATGAACGAATTGGTTTATTTAAATTGTGCTTACCACTCATGAAATTGTAAATAACTGGATTAATGCAGCTATTGAAAAATGTAGCCCAATGTGCAAACAAGGCAATCAGCCGTTTTTGGGGAACATTTTGAAGCTGACCAGTATATCTGAAAAAAAACTGTAATTATAAAAAGTGTATTTTGGTAACGAATGATATAAATAACAGTTACGGAGATATATAACATTGATGATATAATTAAAATTGTCACCGAAAACAGCAAATTGTAAATTGTAACCGGCTCAGTAAGAGTCTGTATAGCATGTATAGCGGTGAATACGAGATATATCCAACCCAACCCCCAACCCGACGGAATTGCCTCAAGCTGGAATTTATCATATTTTCTATAAAATATTGCATTCTTAATCTGTAGGGGAAACAATTAATCTTTCGAAAATCTGCTCATACAGGCTTATCTTCTAAATGCTCAATATGACTTTTTTTATTCAATCCATAACAAGCAGCATATGTCTGCCTCCCTAACTATAAAAAATATGTGTGAAAACAGAGGATAATATTTAATTTAAAGTAATGAAAGTTATACCAAAAATGTAAATTGAAAATATATAAGACTTATTTAATTATTATTCACAAAATGAGTTTGCATAGTTATTAGCCAATTTGCATGTACAATTTTTACAATATTTTCTTTATCATATTTCAATATTTTGAAATTAATCCAAAAAATATGTAAATTATGTTTACCAAAGTACATGTTATAATTATCTTATGTTCCAATTATTTTACCAGGTTTGAAACAGCACTTTTATTGTTACATCGAACGTTCAAAATTACTTTTATTAAAAGAGGTAGAATCTTTATACATAAAAACATTTATCCATATCTAATTAATAGCTAGTTTCCAACACGCCATCACAAAAAACGAAAAAAACAAACAAAACGTTAATATTGTAGAAAACAAATACAGTGTAATTCTCTGCAATTTGATAATTTGAGTTAAGTCATATTACTCTGTTGCAATAAGCGTAAAGTTACAAGAAGGTAAAAAGAGTTTACAAGATAACAAAATATCGGACATTTTCGTTTTTATTGAAACTAACTATTTAAAATAATTTTGGTTTGTAATATGTAAATCTAATTGCATCTAAAACACACACCTAAGTATATTTAGAGTATGATTTGGAAGGAAACATATTGCAAAAACTACAACAACAGCGACAAGCATCCTGATAGCTTTACGTCTGCCCTCACTTTGTCCAACATTTTCATGCACCCTTATTCCACCGTTAATCATTGGTTTCCTGGCTCCTGAAAAAATTAATATAAAGTTACGAAATATATATTTATTGTTCGCATCAAGTATCGATTATTGCTTCAATTCATATCAGCCTTGCTTAATTCGTCATCATCGGATATGTTTTGAACAATGAATATATTCAACGCTCTTAAATATATCAATTTGGTAATCTAATGGTGTATTTATTTGTTTATGTGTGTGTATTTTGTTTGTGTGTCTGTCTCTGTGTAAAGATATGGTTTTTGGATAGGTGTGTTGGTTTAAGTGTATATGCGGCTATGTGCGACTCAACCATTAGATTAAAGTTTTTGTCCTTACTGTCGATATTTAGCGCATGCCTCAAGTACCGCTTAGACTAGAAAAAAGGCTCAAACATGATAACTATAGGTCGTCAAGGGTTACATTACACATATCTCGAAACATTTGTAAATGTTTAACTGTTAGGGAACAAATTATACAAACATCTTCAAACTATTTGTAATTATCATAATGATTATTAAGATTATTATTAATTTCATTAAAGAGTAATATGATTTAGTTTAGAATAAGTCTAAATCATTTTATATGTATCATTTAGAATCATAATACTCCGTTTTATAATAAAATGAAAAGCAATGACATATATTCTGCTGTAGAGTATTTGTTTTTATTATTGACGTCCGATAATTGTTAGGCTATTCACCATGTTTATAGGTATTTTCCGGAATGTAATGTTACGCCATTTTATAGAGATCTTGCCAGATAAGATGAGGACTCGAAAGTTTCAGGGAATGGTATTTTAATATAAGTATACTTACTTAACTCTATTGTTTCGGAAATGCTGCCTCTCCAAAGAACTAAGCCAATGTGGCTATAACTAAAGGCCATCATGGCAATTGGTAGAAAATAAAGTCCAACCATTAAGCAAATTTGAAAGATAACAATACTTTGATCATCCCATAATGCGGGGTAACAAGCTGATAGCAACACAGTGTCTTCTCGTAAAGGTACAACTGTTGAAGTGATAAGTTCCGGAACAGCAATGCATGCTGAAGCTATCCATATAATGATTATGATGTATCTAGCACGTCGGACGGTACTATGGAACCGGAGAGGATGACAAATAGCATACCATCGCTCAACTGATATTGCACACAATGTCATAACTGAAACCGAGATCGTCAGTGTCTGAAAAAAAGGTTAAAATCATAAAAAGGCCGGAAGAAGTAACAAGAGGGCCATGATGGCCCTAGATCGCTCACCTGACCCATCAAACTCATCCAAACAATTACCTAGACAAGCATTCTGACCAAGTCTCATGACAGGTGAGTCAAAAATGTGACCAATACAGTGTTAACAAGGATTATCCATATTTGAGCAGTGTGAACTAGTTTTTTACCCAGGTGACCCATATTCAAACTTGACCTAGAAATCATCAAAACAAACTTTCAGACCAATTTCCAGGATACTTGGATCAAAACAGTAGCAAATAGAGTGTTAACAAGATTTTTCTATTTTTAGTTCCGGTGACCTAGTTTCACATGTGATTTCGAACTCATCCGAGCAATTACCTAGACAAGCATCCTGACCAAGTTTGATGATAATTGAGTCGAAAATGTGACCACTAGAATGTTAACAAGGTTTTTCCATATTTGGGCGGTGTGACCTAGTTTTTCATCCAAGATGACCCATGTTCGAACTTGACTTAGAAATCATCAAAACAAACTTTCAGACCAATTTACAGGATTTTTGGATCAAAACAGTAGCCACTAGAGTGTTAACAAGATTTTTCTATTTTTAGCTCCTGTGACCTAGTTTTTCATCCGAGATGACCAATGTTCGAACTCATTTAAGCTATCAACTAGACAAACATCCTGACCAAGTTTGATGATGATTGAGGCATAATTGTGACCGCTAGAGTGTTAAGAAGGTTTTTCTATTTTTAGCTCTTGTGACCTAGTTTTTCATCTGAGATGACCCATGTTCGAACTCATCCGAGCTATCAACTAGATAAGCATCCTGACCAAGTTTGATGATGATTGATGCAAAAATGTGACCGCTGGAGTGTTAACAATGTTTTTCTATTTTTAGCTCCGGTGACCTAGTTTTTCATCTGAGATAACCCATGTTCGAACTCATGCAAGCTATCACCTAGACAAGCATCCTGACCAAGTTTGATGATGATTGAGGCAAAAATGTGACCGTTAGTGTGTTAACAAAGTTTTTCTATTTTTAGCTCCGGTGACCTACATTTTCATCCGAGATGACCCATGTTCGAACTCATCCGACCTATTACCTAGACAAGCATCCTGACCAAGTTTGATGATGATTGAGGCAAAAATGTGACCTCTAGAGTGTTAACAAGGTTTTTCTATTTTTAGCTCAGGTGACCTATTTTTTCATCCAGGATTACCCCTGTTCGACTCATCCAAGCTATCACCTAGACAAGCATCTTGACCAAAGTTGATGATGATTGATGCATAAATGTGACAGCTAGAGTGTTAACAAGGTTTTTCCTTTTTTAGCTCCAGTGACCTACTTTTTCATCCGAGATGACCCATGTTCGAACTCTTCCGAGCAATCACCTAGACAAGCTTCCTGACAAAGTTTGATGATGATTGATGCCAAAATGTGACCGCTAGAGTGTTAAAAATTCTTTTCTATTTTTAGCTCTGGTGACCTTCTTTTTCATCCGAGATGACCCATGTTCAAACTCATCCAAGCTATCACCTAGACAAACATCCTGACTAAGTTTGATGATGATTGAGGCAAAATTGTGACCTCTAGAGTGTTAACAAGGTTTTTCTATTTTTAGCTCTTGTGACCTAGTTTTTCATCCGAGATGACCCATGTTCGAACTCATCCTAGCTATCAACTAGGTTAGCATCCTGACCAAGTTTGATGATGATTGAGGCAAAAATATGACCGCTGGAGTGTTAACAGGGTTTTTCTATTTTTAGCTCCAGTGACTTAGTTTTTCATCTGAGATGACCCATGTTCGAACTCATCCGAGCTATTACCTAGACAAGCATCCTGACCAGGTTTGATGATGATTGATGCCAAAATGTGACCGCTAGAGTGTTAACAAGGATTTTCTATTTTTAGCTCCGTTGACCTACTTTTTCATCCGAGATGACCCATGTTCGAACTCATCCGAGCTATCACCTAGACAAACATCCTGACTAAGTTTGATGATGATTGAGGCAAAAATGTGACCTCTAGAGTGTTAACAAGGTTTTTCTATTTTAAGCTCTTGTGACCTAGTTTTTCATCCGAAATGACCCATGTTCGAACTCATCCGAGCTATCAACTAGATAAGCATCCTGACCAAGTTTGATGATGATTGAGGCAAAAATGCGACCGCTATCTAGAGTGTTAACAACAAAATGTGAACGGAGGACGGACGGACGGACAATCATTGATCCTAAAAGCTCACCCTGAGCATGCTCAGGTGAGCTAAAAAAACAGCAACAACAAAACATGACTATTTGATAAAAAGATAATTCTCTTACCGCAAACTTAGTTGAATGAATGTTAGAATTATCCGCCTCAGTTAAATAGGAAGTGGCAAATCCATTCCGGATTTTAAAGACGGAAACAAGTTGTCAGATTTTATTAAGTCTTCAGTACAATATCAGATAATGTGGAAACATTTTACAGCAGAAAAATGCTTTTGTTTGTGATGTAAATGCACTATTGGTTTAAATTTCTTTAAAAAAAACATGGGATTTGTAAATTCAATAACTGATAAAACTGCTTTATAGTGACATTAGAGATACATACATGTATCAATATGTATAAATATCATTTATTTGCACATTTGTAATTATACCACTCCTCCATTAGAAAGTCCTGTTTGTTTGCTACTAACTTTCTTGGCTGTTTATAGATTTTGTTCCTATGAAAGCAGAAATCAATTAATGTAATATACCTGATAATTGGGCACCACCTGTGTATGCACGAAATTCAAAGTGTTTGCAAGAAGTAAGTACACAATAAGACTTTAGCAAATAGAAAAAACATGCAAAAGTCACTAAATGTTAGGCACGCTATTTTACTAGGACAATAAGAAACTGAATAATATAAAAAGAAATAAGATATATTGTTATACAAAAGCCATCGATAAACATTGTTCAAGATAAGTAAACAATAAATTATTCAAGACAACATTATCCAATTTGTGTCATTTTCGTCCTCGAGAATATTAATTAACTTGTGGAAGGCATTTGGCGCTTTTAGTTTCATTTTCAGTAATTATACGAAAATCGTGTCAGTCTGGCAAAAAAAGAGATTTAATTTGCACAGAATACTGTTTTCATATTTGTTGCATTTACACTCCTCATTTTAATTTCAATATGTACTTTTATTTTGTACTTTGTATTTTAAGTAATTCCCATAACAAATTAAGAAGCTCTAAAAATAGTCTGTAAAAGGATATTCTGACAGTATCAAAATTGAAGTTCTGATAGAAACATAGTTGACTGATAACTTGACCACTTCAAATGAGGTCGTTCCTTTTTACATGCAAGATTTGATCTATATTATTTTTAAATTCAAAATGTATAATTGCGTCAAATTTATATAAATTCAGTGTGAAACCTGTTAAAAACACTTTTCTTCGGTTTTCTGAAAATCTTCAAATGATGTCCCTTGTGATTACCACCGGATACAAGCGATATGATATGCTTTCATTTCAGCGTAATTATATCAATCGATGTTTTAAGATATGGCAAGCTTGAAATATTATGAAAATATATTATAATTCCACCTAAAAGAGGTGTACATCGATCTGGTGTTAATTTGATACTTTATTATTGTGTGGACATTTAAGTATCATAGTTAACCTATCGATATCAGTATAAACCATCTCACAGGGAGTTAGCAGATCAAATGAGAGATAACCGAGTCATGAGCAAACAGATCGATTGGCGCTTCTAAATCTTATCCTCCTGCTTTATATATGGATGAGACCAGTACAGATCACGACCAACCGATTCAGCTGTACAGTATGATCATGGTATTCAGTTATATTGAGTGTTCATCGATATATAGCATGGACAGGGCTATGCTATATTAACCCCGATTGTGAGTTGCTATGTTGAAATATGTTCTGTCTATCTTTTTATATTTTAAATCTTTAGAAACAAGTGTTCATACAAGAAATACATATTTATAAAGACATACCATTAGTTGGTATAAAAAGAAAATCGATATTAACGGTTATAAGATATTTTGTTGTAAAATCCAACACAGAAAGATTTCGCAATGAAATGTTTTCTTTCAACCACGCTGTAAATTAGTCTATTATTGTATTGTTGTTTTTTTATATAAAACTTTTGTATTTGTTTAACTACTTTAAAACCGCTGGTATTCGATGAGTGGTCTAGAATAAAACAGGTCATTCTTTTTCCATAATTTTGTCAATCTATGCCGTTTGTGCGAAAGTGATATACCTGCCGGTAGATTTGAGAGTCGTATCTTTTTACAACTGTTCATTTGTTTCGCTCAATCAATATGTAATTGGTGAGGCATTTAAAGTGAAACTTCACGCACTGTTGGCAATATTAATAACATCAAAACCAAGACCGTCAATTTCACTAGGGAATTTGATCTTTTCTAGATAATGCATGTCCGATACGGCGTTTTTCAAAACACGAAGAAAATGGAGTGCATTTAATTGAGTTTTGGAGGTTAAGCAAAGCTCAATTATTCGGGCGAAAATTGGAAATACACACGGTATATTACACGATATCTATTTTTAAAGTACTGGTTACCAACTTTTTATAATCAAACTCAATAATATAGTTTAAGAAATATTAAAAAGGTACCATAACTTATTCGACATATTAAAGATGAGTTTAAATGTACCAATTATAAAATAATATATTATCAATACACTAAGACATTTTAAGGAACCCATATATGATTACATAGTTCAAGAGATAAAATCACAAAAAAAGTTTTCAAAATTATCTACATCGCCTGTCAAACAACAAAACAAAGTATTGTAATCATATCATTACAGGTGTACACAATTTTTTGGTCTTAAAAGTCATGAATGGCTTTCTTATCTAATCTATAGACGTTTTTGCAATGCATTCGAAAGCGACTTTTTCAGACATTTTAAAAAACGAAAAAAGTTTCTTTTTGATTTATTCCCCGTTTACTGTTGTTTCAGAATCTTTCTGAAACTTAATTTTTCTGAAAATCTGCACTAGGAAACTTCTTGTTCTAAATAGTGTGTATAACTAAATAAACAGCTTTTAGCCCAGTGATCATCACTTTCCCCGCTTTAAATGCTTCCTTTCTCATAGTCAATTACAGATTGTTTATTCTGTCCATGTCTCTTTACAACATCTGTAAATTATGCCTTTGATTTTTTTATACTTTCCCACATTTTTATGCATTTTATTTGAATCTTAAAAGTAATCTTATAAAATCAATGTAAGGTCACCGCAAAAAGCAAACGTCATATAACATTTAATTGATTTGCGTTATATTTGATGATAATGTCCCCACCATCAAATTATCACAAATTACAGAAATTCAATCGTTAAGATCTTTTCGAGACAACACAAAACCATGTGTAAAATATATCATCAGCAAGTAGAACATTAAGTATGTCTGCAGCGACACAAATTTGTTAAAAGAAATTACAAAATTAATATTTATTTTGTTATCTTAAATGAGTTATGATATCCAAAAAGGTTATAAGCAAAACTGTATTATTTTTTTTCTATTTTAAACAACTGCTTCTTGAAAAGACAAAACAAAATATTTACAAATTCAAAAAATATAAACGGAGAAACCAAGTTATGAACATTCCATTGCTTTATAATCGTACATCATAGAAGAAAATAAAGAAATCATACATTATTACTTTTTACAACTAAATTGTATGGTATACATGTTTTATGACAATGCAAAACAATCGCCTTAATCACCAATTCACAGATGTTGTTCCACTTTACTGATGATATACGATTTTAGAAACTTATCAAGCATTTCATGGCGTGACATAAAGAAATTCAATCTAAAAACTACGTTTTTCATACAAGGAAAATATTTTCTCGTCAGAATTACTTTATAGGTTGATTTTTAAGAGAAAACATATTTCTCGCTTAAAATGATAAAAATCAATGTAAAAGAAGACAAGTGATTTATTTGATTCAAATGACACACTTTGTATTATGTTGGCGATAAATAGCAATCACAAAATCTAAAATGTAGAGAACCTAGATTCAATAACACTTGATGTGATTTCATCATTGAAGATTGAATGGTTAGCAATGCTGCAAGTCATTTGGTCAATCTTTTAAATTATTCTCTTCGCAATCAGCTCACTTTATGTCACTCTTAAATAAATGAACTTAATAATGTTGATAAATGATATTATTAGACCTGTTTTATGTTGTCGATATTAAATAGTAGGCTCAGATGGTTACGATATGTGTTACAGAAGTTTTCAAAATAACTCGCTTTAAATTAGGTTTGCATGGAAGGTATTTTATTCTATTCAACATGCACATACTATGAGATTATATGCTTGCTCTTTTTTCTTGCCTTTTCGTTTTTGGTGGATTCATAATCGATAATAAAACAGTTTTAATTATCTTAACGGCATCATGACCTTACTTGTCTTTTAATTGTATGACTTTGTCTTAAAGAGTGACTTGAATCAGATCAAGTAAGTCTCCTAGGAAATTGATTACATAAGTATCACCTACACAATTGAAACTTTACATCAGTCTGATAGGAATTATATGCAGTAGAAAGTAATAAATTGAAAAACATAGACGCCGCTGCTTCGTGTGTGTTTAAACAAATTAGCGACATCATTGGACAATTGAATAGAAATGTTTACAACATTTGACGTGAAATACCTTTAAAATCTGTCAAAGATTTATTTTAAATGTAAAAGCAATATGACACTACGATTCCCTCTTGCCTGTCCTCCTATATATTGAAAAAAAAACATTGAATTGGGTTTATCAGTAACTGGGCCCCTTTTTGTGTTCAAATCTTTGTTTCAATAATAATTTCTTCAATTATACAAAACAATTTCTTTCCACTTTCATAAATTGTCATATGCCTATGAAAAATGAAATAGTTTTGAATATATTTGACAAATTTGAGTAATTTTGCATGCACATGCGCTTCGTGTCTTGTCCCTCTTTTACAAACAGGACTAAGTCTAACTGTACGAAATTTATTTTAACACCAGTAACAATTTCAGTACGAGACTATCTATACTGAAGCAGGTCTAAACCTACAATGTACCAGTTAATTAATAGTCAATGCGACCAATGTACGTAATGAATGCTTAATTTAGACAGTGACATTGATAAAGTTGCGATAGCTTATTTAATTGTGCCAACTGATCATTTACCTTTTAATTAGTTGATTATTTCCTTTCAAAAATACTTACATCAACAATTAGCTGATTATTTCCTTTCAAAAATACTTAACTAAATGAGGCAGTTTATACTTCTTTACATCTATGAAAGTTTTATGTATAGAATTATACTGACATTTGTGTTGCATTAACTTTATTCAGGCTAATCTCATTTGTGCACTGTATGTTCATTTTTTCATTACAAAAGACACGCTTTCAGTAGCTGTATTAATTTGATACAAACAGTATTATTAAAACAAACAAAAAACATTTTAAACTATAGTTAAACCAGATATCTCTGTTAATATTTTGGAAAAGAAAATGCAATTTTGTGCATTTGGTTCAAGACAACATATTTGTTAATTCCATGAGCTGCGTAAATTTATATTTTATATCTTTGGAATCAAACAATCAGGCGCTTAATGCCCTAATATCTTAATAGCAAATTTAAATATTGTTATTAAAGTAAATGAAAATTCTTTGAAATAAATGGTCTTTAAAATATATAATTGTAATAATAGGTCTCTTTAAATTAATATCAAAAACGTGAAGTTAATGTATAGATTAAATGCTCATAAAATCAAATTATAGCCAATTTAACAAAACAAATTTCACATAAGCTAATTATCTTCTTTTTTTGATAAATACTTAGACAACATGTCGGTCAACAGGGTGTTATGGTAATTAAGATAAAGCGTCAACAGGGTGTTATGGTAATTAAGATAAAACATGAAGATAAACAATTAGTATAATTTCTGTTTTCTTATTACACTCTATACATCTCCATAATTAAAATATAGTAAAAACAGGATCACTTAAGATTCAAGGCTCGGTTTGAGTCAACATGTTCATTGACTTTACTGTAAAGTGCAAGCCATCGTCTATGCACCCTAACACCGGCTTAAGCAGAATTAAACATGTGTTCTTAACGAAAAAAGAATGGGAGGTGGTAAATAAAATGGAATCTGTCGAAGATATTTGTAAGTTTATTTCCTAGATTCAAACCATCACTCTGGTTAAGATTTCTTTGTTGTTTTTTTTTGGCAATTAGAGAATTCTTAATAAATCCAATTCATTATTCATAAAGAGATAATAGAATAAAAAACTGTCCTTTCATTAAGGTACAGAAAATTAGAAATGATGCACATAGGGATTTCTTCCATTTAAGGTACCGATCATTCAGGCAACAAACATTTTATTTAACGTTAGGAGCTGATTTTTGTGATAACTATTACTCTAATGATAAAAGGTCATAAGAATATTTTCAATGCTACCCAATTTCACTACAACAAAATGGTTACAGTTCTACGTGAAATTAAATATACTGCTTAAACAACAACAATTTGAGTTTATTGTACTGTACATTTTTTTTGGATATAATTTATATTATTACCAATTAAAGATTGTTCTAATTGCTTATGAGGCGGTTATGTGTTCAAAATTTATACTCGTACAAATAATACCCATTATACTCATTTTAATGTTATACAATTTAGTGCAAATGAATCTACTAAGTCAAGAACACTTTAACATCAGTATTGAATATAAAAGTGAAATATTGTAATATTAAAATGCCATGTGACAAGGAATACGAGTATTTTGAAACGTCCAAACCTGCAGGATGACTTCGTCATTTATTACAAACTCAAAACCAGAGAGAATATGTAAAGTATACAAATGGAAAGTAAAAATTGTTTCAACACTTCCTGCGATAATTAGATGAATATTAGAAATTGAAACATAAAACTCGTTAGTTCCCACTGACAGCTAAAATCAATGTAAAACATAAAATAATACAAATTGAAATGTTTAACAATTTTGTTCGAATTACCGTGAAAAATACTAGAATTTATATCTTGAAATGTTAATACTCTATTTCCACATATAGCTAACAACATGTGAATTTTTATAATTAAAATGTTAAAAAGTAATTCACTTACAGCGAGAAATATGTGAATTTTACACGCAATTGTACCCAGAAACCACGTCGCAGTGACATCTACAAGGAGAGCAGAGGGAAGACAAAATATAATTATTAATAGGTCTGCAATGGACAAATTCACCATGAAAATATTAGTGATTGTGCGAAGATCTTTATTAATCCAGACTGCAAAACAAACTAATATGTTCCCGACCACTCCAACAACAAAAGTTAACGCGTAAGTCACTATCAAAATCCATTCCAATGTTTGTGGATATATATAATCGTACAACTCCTGTATTGAAATACCCGTCTCCGTACTACTTCCTGATAAAAAGCTAGAATCATTTTGGTCTAATGATAACCCCGTTATATTTTCCGAGTAATTTCCCATTTTGTTTCACGCAAAGTGTCATCTAAGGCGATGAAGATTTAGAATGAAATTCCCATAAATCCGTAATGTGTTTTAAAAATATAAGCCTTATGCTGAATAGATTTTATTAAAATTTCCGTGATTATTTCTATTCATTTGACTTGTCAAAGTAAAAGAAAACGCATATTTGTCAAGTTCTTAATAACGCTGACTACTGTTTTCACAACAGAATACCGATGTTAGTGTAAGACTTTATTGTATTAACTGATATACACATATTTTCAACGCGCGCCGCCGAGCTCTGAAAACCAATAATACTTGCATCTCGTGTCATAAAAATATTTAGAAAAAAAAAACAAAAAAAAAAAAAAAAAAAAAACACTTTCCTTTATTGAATAAGCAAGTCCATACTCTACTTGAACATAATTATTTCATTCGAAACCTTTTTTAGAGTAATGATCACAAAAAAGGTATTTAATGAAAAATATGAAAATATTATCGATGTGATTTTATTTAACAAGACAGGCTGTATCATTTGAATCAAAGATACATTTCTTTGTCTGACAGAAGAGATACGTTTGTCCTTAATTTTTTTTTATATTATTTTCGGTCAAACGTGAAATATTACACAACTATGACTTGTTTTAAGGACATGTTTTTAGATAATACATTACATTTTTCTTATTGACTTTTGTAGAATAAGTTACACTTATTTTGCTGAACGGAATATGACTTATTATTTAAGACGATAGTAATACTGGTAAATAAATAGTGTCCAACAACTTAAGGTAGTGGTCAAATTTAAATTTGAGTATAGAATAGTCACTCGTCAAAAAAGCACATCAGTTTAAAACCGCTCTTCAAAATTAGAGAGTGACTTCTGTTTGTTCTTTGCCTAACTAACTGATACATTGTCTCAGAAGATATTCTTTTTCAACTTGATCAACTTGCTCAGAAACCAATCTTTGTTCACATTTTTTTCTATATTTCACTCAACACTGGCTGAAATGAATGTTTTCCCATTAACTTCTTATAAATGTACTTTTACTTGTTTTTTTTTCTTCTCGAAAATAGTTTACTAGTCGAATCACAAGTACGACGTTTCTTCACATACGCCTTTGATATACATGTATTTCAATGACAGGTCTCTACATACTTAACAAACCTATTTCGTAATGTGCTTAGTTTAAACGTTTCTGCCACTTCCTTAAACGTCTTGACTGTTGCAATACGATAATGTTCCATGAGAAATGTATATTTATGTAAGATCAATACTTAGATTGACTGCAGACCAGTCGCTGTAAAAAAGTAAAAGTACCTTTCATTCATTTTCTAGATGCATTAAAATGTATGTTATTCATTTTGTATGCGATATTTAATTATAATTTGAAATAAATTTATTTAAAAATTTTGATTACAAGGTATTTTGCTTTATGACACTATTTTGATTATCTTATCAATCGGAAATGAAATTAATGACAAATGAAATGAAATTAATGACGAATGAAATGAAATTAACAACGAATGAACGTTCACAGTATATACCTACGACGCTTTAATAATTGTCAGGACAGTAAAGCTCGACTATTCGAAAGGTTGTCACAAGGGTGATTCATTGAGTATAATAATGCTTACCTATATGAAAACATAAAATTGTCCGAAAAGGTACAAAAAAGCAAATCAGAGTTATGGAAATTGTGCCAATCATCTAAGATAATCACAGAGAACAAGTGTTCGAAGTTTCAATGCATTCCCTTCAGTAGTTATGGAGATACCAGCTTACACGCAAAAACCTAACCAAGAATTTCTAAGTCCAAAAAGGGGCATAATTATACAAAAAAGCAAATCAGAGTTATGGGACTTGTGCCAATCATCTTAGATAATCACAGAGAACAAGTGTGTGAAGTTTCAATGCATTCCCTTCAGTAGTTATGGAGATACTAGCTTACACGCAAAAACTTAACCACAGGTACGCCGTCGCCGACAAATGGGTGACTGCATTAGCTCGAATAGTCGAGCTAAAAATAAAATTCTTCCTATAATATACACTCTTATCAAATATTATAATTGAAAACATAATTTGTAGAAAGTAAAGGTAATTTTAGAATGTTTTTATCATTACAGTAAAGATTTTTTATGAGAATATGTTATTTGTGTAGCTTTTATTATTACCAGTCATCAATTCTAGGAAATTTCATTATAGCTTAATACACGTATATGTAATCAGTCGAAATGTCAACTTTTTAGGGATTCTGTTTTTCCTCTATTTAAATGTAACCGGTTAAAATATATATATATGTATTCTTTCTAATCATTCAACTTTAACGTCAGATTCATACGTCAGATTCATTTTTTCAATTCATCTGGATTTTCCTTTTGGTAAGGTTATATTTGTTTAAGCCATACAAGCTTTTAACATTTTACCTGTCAAATGGGTTATTTCTGCTTTGAATTTAGCACAATCTGTTCAAGGTTAAACGGATTCAAATACGACAAAATGCATAAATTGAGCTTTAAGCAATATAGAACCTCGTCAGACAGCTGGGGAGTGTCGGCTGACATAGCTCTATACTGGTTAATCTACGACAAATTTATAATAAGTAAACAGGAAAAATCAATGAAATGAAGTAGCGAATACGAGTGATGAGACAGTATATCTCAAAACTAATTAAAATATTTCGAGGATATTGTTTTTTTTTTCTCATGATAATTCGTGACATTGACGACCTTGAAGATGACTTGTTTTCGTCCGTATTTAATCTGATAATAACGAACATTTCTTTATATATACGGAAAACATAAATATATATCCATTTTCTAAATAATTTGTATTGAGGAAATGGAGATTGTTAACAAGTAGCTCGTCAAAAATGTATTTGTCATTACATAACGTTAACCCTAAGTCATTTCTTTTCGACTGCTCAAAGACCAAGCCTACGTTTTATATAAACTTAAATATATCTTGTTTTGGCAAGTTTTTTAGCCATTCTCATCACTTATCTTGGTGACAAACTGGACTAACAATTATCTTGTGATTCAATGGCTTCCTTAATTATTAAGAAAACCGAGGTTAACATTTCTGTTTACGTCAATATCGAATGTTTGCTGTGATAGTATTTTCTTAAAATAATGTGGATGAATAAGAAACAGGTAACTCAAAATAAGTAGATAAGGTTTATTCTGAACTTACACCAAAGATGAAAACCTGTGTCTACCTGTGTCCAAACGTGTCGATAAAGTTGTTTGATGTTTTTGTTTTAGATTGTAGAAGCCAGGTGCTTTGTTTACATGACTGAGCGTTAAGTCCTAAATCTGTTTAATTTGGTATCAGATATTAAGTGTATTTAATTAATGCTCCCAATTACCTTAACCATTTTTGTGCCTTTAAAAACAAGTCAAGTTTTGTTTAATTAAAACAAATCTGAGTAAAATATATAATAAAATGTAAAATAAAATAAATAGATGAAATAAAATTACTATTATAGCGAATATCCATGAATAGTTCATTCATATATTAACTAATGAAGGAAACGGTGGTCTAATGGCTAAGGTGTCTTCCTCTCAACCCAAAGATCTTGGGTTCGAGCCCTTCACAGAGCACGTCCATGTTTCCTCAATTGACACCGGTACTGGTTTGATTAATGTTAGTTGCAAGAACTTTGTTCGCAATGGAGCATAACTAAATATATTGAATAAACTTACTTAATTATCGAGGGATCTTCATTGTTGATTTGAAGCCCAAACAAAAAGAAAAAATAGCATACAAGCTTGCTAAGGAAGAATCCAAGGCAATTCTTGAAGATTGTAACAAGCTATCCTGTATACATTAATACCTAGAACAATTAATTTACCTCAAGATAGATGTTTATAGTAGAGAATACAACACAGTTGTTGGCCTTTATCGATGGAGTATCTTCTGACAATAAAACAACCCAAAATGAGGTAAAGATTTGCCTCTCTCTTGAACAAATTTATGGACTTGCTCATAAATACTTTGTTGCCCCTCTGTTATTTGTGAATTATCTTGTACAGTTCCATGCAACTCAAAGTAAGGTGCTTCTCAACATGAATTCAAAGCTGTATCCTGGTGGCAGTTACTCGACAGTCACTAACTGGCTACGTTCTAAAAGTGTTCGGAGTCCTGTTTATCTGATTGCATAGTTGCTTTTGACAATGATCAGATTGTTGGAAAAACATGGAATGATAGAGCTGATTTCACAGAGAGGTTTTAAGATATAAGAAATCCTTAGGGTAAAGTTTATGATTTCGTACATGACACCCACTATAGACAACTGTATATGAATTTGGAAGAAGCTGTTAATCTCATTTATGAAAACAAGTCGATGCAGTTAAGATGACTATTTCCTTGATGATATTGACCAATCCATTGCTGACGAACCAGGCATGGACCAAATAAAATGTTTGCTTTGTGGCATGCACTACAAAAAGTCAAAAATAAAATGCGATAAATGCCATGTTAACATTAGAGACGTACGTAAGCAGTCTCAGAAAAGCTTCTAATGAGCCTAAAAAGCGAAACCCAGTTTAAAAAGAATATAATTTTGCTACAAAACATCTTCCAAACCAAGACTGCAAAACACAATGAATGGACATAGAAACATTAAATTCCATGTTCTTGACCCTGTTGAATTGAATCCTAATTATGAATTTATTACACTTGTTCTACATAAAATTGGACTGAAAGTTGGCATTAAACGATATAGAATGGACTCGGATGAATCTGCCACTATGGGGTTAGAGATTTGTGATGTGTGATGGTTTACCTTATTAAATTGCATACAAGTTAATCCACGATAGCTAGTATTGTGTGAAATGCTATGAATCTATTTTGAGATATGAATGTTTTAAATACTTTGGTAGTTTAGCGCGGAGGAAGGTAGTCTAGTACTGGTATAACTCTCCAGGAACGATGGTTAGGAAACTATCCGCATATATGACTGAAATTCTGTTAGGAAAAGGCGTAAAATAAAACAAACAAACAAAGAATGTTTTAAATTACATAATATAAAACATAATAATGGTGAAAATACACAAATTGTTTATTATATGAATTTGATTTG